AAGATGTAATTATATTTTGTGTAACATAACATGCTTCCTCTATAAAAGGAAATCGCACTGTGCAGTATATCGATATATAAGTTGTCAATTGATCATCTGAATTTACCCGTTTTCAAAAAAAAAAAAAAAAAAAAATGATACCATTATCAGACGAATGCTTTCTTGAAATATTTAGCTATCTACAATTTAAAAGTTTATTTTCTTGTATTTTAGTATGCCGTCAATGGTGTAGATTTATTGCACCAATTTTATGGAGCAAACCTTTAAAAGATCTTAGTGATGCAAGAATTATAAGAATATACCTTTCGTTATTAAACGGTGAAGAACAAGTTCAATTACTTCCATATGAAATAATACTCCCAAACGGACCGAAACCATTGATTAATTACGCTACTTTTACTGTCTCTTTTGAAGACTCTCATCTTAGCGAATCAATAATAGATTGGATTGAGAATGAAGGTCATAATCCTCGTGATTTAACAGATTATGACGATGAATATTTTAATACTAGTTTGAATGTGATCCAAGCAATCAAATGTTCATTGGTTGCAATGCTATTACGGACAAGTGAAAGACTTAAATATATTAGCTTTTATGGTTATGATTATGGTTTATTTACAAAAAATTTAGTAAAAGCCCTTTACAGAAACACAACTATTAACGATATTTTTCTTGAATGGATTGATCATAATTTTGATGACGCAAAAACAATAACTGATGCTATTCTTAAAAACACCACACTCCAATCCTTAAAAATTAGGTATATAAATAATCCTAAAACTGCAAAATTATTCGTTGAGACACTTTACGAAAATACTACGCTTTCATCTTTGAGTCTTCAATGCAGTCATCTTGGAGATGAAGCTGGGAAATCATTGGGGAATGTTCTCTTTAAAAACACCGCTCTGACATCTTTGGACCTTAATTGTAGTCAACTTGGTGTTGAAAGCGTAAAAATGATGGTGAAAGCTCTTTGCACAAATCAATCTCTGACTTTATTAAATCTTGGTAATCAAAGCTTTGGCGTCGAAGGAGGGAAAGTAATTGCAGTAGCCCTTTGCAAAAATACTACACTCACCTCTTTAGATCTTAGAAATAATCATATTTGTTTTGAAGGAGCAAAAGTATTGGCAGATGCACTTTGTAAAAATACCTCATTGACCCACTTAAATCTTGAAGGGAATCGACTTGGCGTTGAAGGTGTGAAACTATTGGTAGCCGCACTTTGTAAAAATATCACACTGACTTCTTTGAATCTTGTTAATAATCATGCTGGTGTCGAAGGAGGAAAAGCATTTGCAGAGGTTCTCTGCAAAAACACAACTATTACTTCTTTAAATCTAGGTGGTAACGAAATTGGTCATGAAGGTGGGATAGCATTGGCGGGTGCTCTTTGTGAAAATACAACGCTCGCATCTTTTAATATTTCCGATAATTTGCTTAACGCTAAAGTAGGAAAAGCGTTTGCAGTAACCCTTAGTGAGAATACGACACTCACGGACCTAGACCTTTCTAGAAATTACCTTGGTAAGGAAGGTGGAATCGAGCTGGCTAAGGCACTTAAGCAAAATACTACGCTTATGTCATTAAATCTTCGGAATAATCAACTCTATATGGAGGGCGGAAATGCATTAGCGGATGCTCTTTGTAATAACATTGGCCTTAAGTCCTTAGATATTTCTAGTAACGGATTTTATCTTGAAGTAATAGAGAAGATAGCAGAGTCTCTTTGTGAAAATTCAACGCTTACCTCTTTAAATATTAGTGATAATATTATTTATGCGGATGAAGGAAAAGCCTTATCGTGGGCACTTAGAACCAACAAATCCTTAACGTCATTAGATATTACTATTTGTCAAATTGATTCTGAAACTGTTATAAATGAAATTGTAAAAGCTCTTAACAAGAATGTAACTTTAACTTCTTTGTATATTCATTATAGGTATAATCCTTGTGTTAGAATTGATGAATATTTCGAACATAATAATAGTTATATAGAACCTGATGATTCTGAAGAATCAGACGGATTTGATGAGATTGAAGATATGTTGAAAAGGGTTAGAAAAAAAGTTAGAAAAGATATTAGAATTATTTTTGGATATTAATACGTATCACTTTTAAATAGATCATTTTTAAATAGATAATTTTATAAATAGATCATTTTTAAATAGATCACTTTATAAATAGATCAATTTAAATAGATAACTTTTAAATAGTAAACTAAATAAATTGTTATTCGGCAGTAGAAATAAGAAATATTGGTATCAATAAATTTTAGTCATAAATCTTCAGATTTAAAGTGCAAACACACACACATCATTTTCGTAGTGCATAATCTTTGTCCTTTTAATTTAGGACCTCTAATTTGCCAAATACGTCCAACGTGTTTTAAAACATGTGTATACATGTATTTGTCTATAGAACAACCTTATAGAATAGATTGATATTACCCAAATCAGCCTGATACATACGAAAAAAAGAAAATAAATCGATCTTGGGGACATTAATTTAAATTGCCATTTACTCATGGTAACTGTGGTCGCATTTAATAAACATCAATTCGAGCTTTGTATGAAGTGATGTGACGTGAACAATGTGTTGCTAAAAGTGCATTTGAGTATATTGTGTGGATAATATCCTCTTTCACGAGAAAATATCAGAATATTGTAACTCTATATGATTAGTAAGTGGGTAACTAGGTTGATTGATTTGAATATAAAGATAAAATATAATCGAATGCAAACTAATAAATAGTAAAAAAAATAATTCATCGTAA